CAATTATAATCTTAGCTGAAAACAGAATTTTGCCAGTATAACATACTGGAGAAAAACATTACACACAGGTGACGTACTTTAAATTATTCTGGATTGAAATAAAACTCAACTATATTATAACATAATATCTACATTAACGAAACATACTTCAAGTGAATTACAATGCATCTTTTATGAGATTTCCAATATAATGTAAATTATATTCTAGTCTAAATAGAACTCAACGATATGCTACTCTAAATAGAACTCGTCCAGTATAACATACTGGAGAAAATTTTAAACACATGTGATTTCCTGTTAAATATACTGGATTGATATAAAACTCAATTATATTCTAGTTTATGTAGAACTTACCCAGTATAACATACTGGAGAATAAGCTAACACACAGGTAATGTCCCGTAAAATATACTGGATTCAAACAAAACTCAATTATATTCTAGTCTTAGAACTTATCCAGTATAACATAAAAAATATTACACACAGGTGACATCCCGTAAAATATTCTGGATTCAAACAAAATTCAATTATATTCTAGTCTTATAACTTATCCAGTATAACTTATTGGAGAATAAGCTTATACACAGGTGATGTCTCGTAAAATATACTTGATTCTATCAAAACTCAATTATATTCTAGTCTTAGAAATTACCCAGTATAACATACTGGAGAATAAGCTTACACACATGAGACGTCCCGTAAAATATTCTGGATTCAAACAAAACTCAATTATATTCTAGTGTTAGAACTTATCCAGTATAACATATTGGAGGAAAAGCTTACACACACGTGATGTCCCGTAAAATATACTGGATTAAAACAAAACTCAATTATATTCTTGTCTTAGAACTTATTCAGTTTAACATACTGGAGAATAAAGCTTACACACACGTGATGTCCCGTAAAATATACTGGTCAATTATATTATAACATAATATCTACATTAACGAAACATACTTCAAGTGAATTATAATGCTTTTTTTATGAGATTTCCAGTATAATAAGCTGGAAAAATCTTCGCTTTAGATATTAATTTAGAAACGTGCAACAAATTATACTGGCGCTATGTTCTAAATTGAGAAAATTAGACAATAACACAGATTAAAGCATTAAAAACAAATCAAAAATTCAAAAAATTAAATTTTTTTACTGATACTTTGAATTTTATGGTTTGAATTCTTGATCGTAGAAGAAATTTAAATAATTAGACAAATTTTAGATAGAACTTACTTCGATTTGCAGATTGACGACGGAAATTTTGCTAAAACTTCGATTTGCAGATTGACGCAGAACGATTTTGCTAACACTTTGATTTGCAAATTAACGCCGGAAGATTTTGCGAATACCTCGATTAACGCCGAAATATTTTCCTAATATTTCGATTTACAGATTGACGGCGAAAATTTTCCTAATAACTCGATTTGAAAATTAATGCCGGAAGATTTTGTTAAGTTTTGTTAAAAGAAGAATTTAAGGTGAAGTCGCGTAAATTAATAAAAAAAGCAGGGGTATTTTAGTCAACAAAATGTTACCGCACTAAATTAGTAGCTAAATTTCGTTGACCGGTAATTATGTGGCTACATTTGATTGACCAGGCGAAAAACTGGCCATTTTTGAATTTTTCGCATTATGAAACGATAAGTAACAATGATCCAAACATAGTGTTAGTGTTTGGGCTTAACGGGCCTAACACCACTACTAGTATGTCTAGATTGGGAAAAGCGTGCGTCTTCTTAGGGTTAGGCCTAAAAGGATATTCATTCGTCAGTTTCCGCGGTGTCATAGTGCGATGGCTGAGATTCCTCGTGGGGGAAAGCGAAAATTGGAAGAAGGATGGAGGACCAGAAGATTTCTCCGATTCTGATGATGATCTTGTTACCTATGCTGACGGTCGCAAGATGAGCATCCAACATAAGAATGAGTATCACAGGCAGGTCAGGGAGAGCGAGGTAGGTTATCTATGTTCGTTATTATTCTTGTGGAGTATCAAAGTATGCTTACTTTTATCTCTTTGTCCATTGAAGCGTTTCTTTTTTATTTGTCCTTTTCTGCAATTAGGGTTTTGAGATCACTCTGGATTTGACTTTGAATGCTGCTATTGGGGATCCAATTATTCCCCAACGGGGTAAGGAGAGCAAACCCAAGTTTGTTGACCTCTCCAAGTAAGCAATTAAAGATTTCAATTCGCGGAATGTAAGTAATTGCTTAATTAACTGCCTCATTCTTTTTTTGAAAACTTATATTCTGCGATTGATTGAATATTTGGCTGTCTTTATTTATATTTAGGCTACAAAATACGAATTTGTGAAAAATGTGACTGTGAACACATCATATGCTGCTGGGATGTGGTGTTATATCACCTTTCAAGGCAGGGATGCTGATGTAGATGCTACTGCGGATGATGATTCCAACGCTCTAAAGACTTTTCAAGCATTGGCGTGGTGGGGAATTAATGGAGACAGAGATGTGAAATTTTGCAGGTTTAAGAAACCTTCTTTAGTGATTGAAGGTAGACTTTTTAATCTGCATCTTCTCCTTTCCTTGTTACTTACACTGCTTATATACGTATATTGTTTTGTCTTAGTCAGTCACTCCTTTAAAGTTGTAATATGCATTAAGTTTTGAGTTCTTTTTTCTGACATTTTTTTTGTTACTTTCATTGTTTCCTGTTGCCTTGTGACTCAAATCAGCGCATGTTTTGAGCTGCTGTTGGTTAGAAATCACTAGATTTGAACTATTCTCGATGCTCTTGGTTTGATTTGGGTTGGTGGATTTATTTGTTTGGCTCGGTATCGGAAACACAGGAATTTTGAGGTCCTTGGTCTAGTCAACAATTTTGAAATCTAATACCTAGCCAGATTTTGCTATAAAGAGTTTGAGATTCTTGAAAAATCAGGTCCATGTTTATATGGGTCCTGGCCTCCTGGGTGCAGTTGAGCTTCATGTCTTTGATCGTTGACGGCTCTTTTAGTTGTCACTGACCTTTCCGCAGCTAATTAGGTCCATTTGGTAAATTTTTGGTAGGACAGGAGTTTTCCTGCTTATCAAAATTATGTTACACCTAAAAAATTCAAATTCATTGTCATTGCAGCTTGTTTTTCTCAAAAGCAAGGTCCGCACCTTTTGTTTCAAGGTTTTTGCTCCGTGCGATTTTAACTGCCAAATTGTTTTGTATAACAAGTGATGATGGGAAAGCTGATGCTTTAAATTTGGTTTTAGGCCAACACTTGTTTGCCTTTCTTTCTTATATATGTAATTGTCATTTTTTTGCAGGTGATAAGAGAGCTCCTGATTCGGATGTAGATGCGAAATCTACGCAGTGAGCTTCCTCACTCTTCAAGCTCTGATCAGTCCTCTACTGTGGTAGTTATTACTAATAGTGTAGTGTTATATACATGTGTTATTACTATGACATGAAAGAAGTGTTGGGATATGTCTTCTTCTACTCTTGTAGTTTAATGAAGGGTTATATATGTTATTAACTTAGTTATTACTAGTAGTGTTGTAGTGTGTTATTACTACGACATGAAAGAAGTGTTGGTATGTGTCTTCTTCTACTTTTGTAGGTTAATGAAGGGTTATTTATGTTATTAACTAACACAAGGAAGAAAGTGTTAGCTATGTTTGTGCTTCTGGTTATGTTTGCTGATGAATGGATATGCTTTACTAGGTTTTACGAGAGATTCAGAAATAGTTTCCTAAAAATCGTTTAGAAAGACTTTCTTTAGAATGTGCAGAAACTTTTTTCCAAAATATGTCCTGAAGCTTGTATGTCCTGCATTGTAGTCAGGAGTAATAGTCCGAACCACAATGGGTTCGAGAAAAAAAGGTTAACTTTCTACTATATTTTGTATAAAGGTTTTTCTTTAAATCATTTGTAGGGACCGAGTGATATTCGAACTTCACATATATGTCAAATATTTCAAAACTATTTATACATCTCTTTCATTAGTATTATAGTATCCATTTAACTAGGCGAAATACACAAACGGCCTCTTGAAGTTGTACTCAACGACTAGCTGAACACCTCAACTGACCCCTTTATTATTTTGACACTTCAAGTGACTATTACTCAGATCAAGTAAACACAGGTCGCTGATGTGGCATATGCGTGATTGCTAACCAAATTTTGAGCGCGTGACACATTTCTTGCAGCCTAATTTTTTTTAAAAAAAAGAAAAAACATGAAATACCTCAACTTAGCCCCTCTTCTTCTTTCAAGTGCAAATCACCATGAAACTACCATAGCTTCCATGAAAATGAGTCACTAACTCTCCAACTAAGCCACCTTAAATCACTAAAAATATCGCCTTTCATCAAAAAACTTATTGCCCATAACCTCCGGAGCTTCGCCTACATCCGTCGAGCCAAAACTAATCCCGAGCTAGCCGAAAAAAGCAGCAAAATTGCAGCAATAATAGTTGCGAAAAATCACCAAATCTCCACTAGATAAACACCCTCTTTCATCTAACAACACCTTCATTCCAACAGAAACACACAAACAACAACCAATTATTTAAATCGACCGATAATTTTGCACCAAAAATAATAAATTAGAAAAACAAAAGCTTCAGTTTCAATAATGGTGAAATTTTGTTTCTTCAATAAAATTTGCTCAAATCAGTATTAACACAACAATCCAAATATCAAAAAATAACACCCATCGATTTTCATTTACAAACAACTTCAATTTGTAGAACCCAAATTTTAGATCCTCCATCTTCGATATTTCTCTTCTCCTTCGTCTTCACCGGCCCTCTTCTCCTTCGCCTTCAGTTTTTTGCTATCCAGTCCCCGCTTCTGCTACTTTTGGGTTAGTCCAACTAATATTCATTAAACCTAAATGAAGCTACTTTTGGGATGGAAAGACCTGTGTTTAATTAGTTGGATGGAGAGTGAATTAGGGAAAAGGGGAAGGAGACCAGAAGAAGGGCGGGTGGGGGTGGGGGTAGCGCTGGTTTTGGTTCTGGAAGGAAGAAGAAGAAGTGGGTTGGGGGGGGGAGGGGGAGGGGGGTGCGCTGCTTTGGGGGAAAGTTTTGTTTCTTCTTTAAATTCATTTTTTTTTTAATTATAAGTATTAAGTTTTAATTATAAATTACATGTGTCGTTCACTGATTGGCTTATTTGACACATCATTGGCAAGTGTAACTCATGTACCTGGTCTATTGCACTCGGGTGTCTATTTGATTTACTTAACAATCACTTGAAGTGTCTAAATGATAAAGGGGTCAATTGAGGTGTTCAGCTGGTCATTGAGGACAACTTCAAGGGGCGGTTTATGTATTTCGCCATTTAACTATGTTTTACTTTTAACAATCTGTTGTTGCTTAATTTGATGTAAAAGTGTTACTTTTTTTTTTTACATTATTTTATTAAAGGGCGAAGCTTAACAAGTTATTGTCAGATGATTACTATAATTACATCATCCGTTGGTGCATGCATGACTATAAAAAAATATACACAGAAGTGTGTGTATGCATACAAAAGTAACAAGTGCGTGATTAATATATGACATTATGTAATGAATTTGGTCCATTTTTCTTTTCGTTTTTTGTAATTTAATTTATTATTTTAATGTATAGTATAACACTGTTAATTGATAAAAAGATTGTAAAATCACGAATTATGAACCCTTTCTAGTAATACTCAAATTCCAAATTTGTTTATTCACTATATAATGAGGATGATGAAAATTTATTGCGACTGGGTTGTTGGTTTAGCTGAAGTCTAAACTCAAGAAAGTCTTCGTGAGTGACCCATTGTCCAAAGAATTGTCAAGGGTTGTCCCCCCTGCAATTTCAAAATTAGGCATTTCCAGCTTTCTCTTCTATCTTTTCTTTTTCTAGCTTAAAGAAACATGTTTTGATGAAACTAAGATCATATAGTGAGAAATTAAAGTGAAAGGAAAATCTATTAAATGATCGTACCATTTACTTTTTCACAACACAACAAACTCTAATAAGTAAATGATAATCAGTTCTCATCAGTCTTGATAAGAGATAATAAATACTCGATAAAATAATTGACATGCACATAAGCTAACAGATACGTCAAAGCTATAAAGAAAATGATCAAGCAAAAGCTAGCATAATGTGAAAACTGGCATCAGTTAACTTTAGATTCTCCAGCAAGATAGGCAAGTTGTGAAGAATGAAAAGAAAGAAGTTACCCAACACCTTAGGATGTAGAATTTCCATACTCACATTTGCATTATCAGTCAGAAGTTAACATTCCTTAGGTTACCTTTTGGAAACATGAGCAGCAGAAGCCTTGGTGGGGATTTCGTCACCTTTGTTTTCCTCCACTTAAGTAGAAGACTTGACTATTGTGCTTCTCTTCTAAAAGTAGTCGACCTCATTGTACGAGGTGACTTATTTGTTTGGAGAAACGACACCAAACTCTGAGAATGGGTTGGATCTATTGAATGAAATCCTGGAGAGAGGGCAGAGAGGTATGAGTTGATCGGATGCAGGGAATCCGGGGCAATCCACCACAGCTACAACTACTGGCGCTTCAAATTAGATTCTAAGGTTGCTACTGAAAGGCCTTTTTAGGTCCTGTAAAAGGGAGGTGTAAGCCTCGAAGGCCTTTGGTACTTCGGTAGGGTCAGGCGGCTTTCTTTGCTTCAGCTCCTTCTTTCTACTAGTTCTTACATAAGTAATTTGCAGGAAGTCAACGAAGTCTTTCCTTCTAAAATCCACTCCCGAAATCACATTTTTTGGTACTGGGACTGAAGTAACGTACTTTCGAGTTTTCCTCCCTTCCCCTAGCAGGCAACAACACTGAGAGGAAGACGATCAGGATCCCACGTATCTCAATTGTTGGAACAAAGTTCGAATCCAAAAGGTACCTACCTATAACGAACCGGCTGGTCGCTTTGAGTATTCTAGCCTCGTTCCCCCAATTATTGCTTATTCTACGTTCGTTTGTTGTTATGTGACTTGTCGGGGAGCTTGGTTTGGTTCAGAGGATATTTCAGAATGAATTGGGACACCTAGTCCCAAGGTTGGAAGCCTAAGTTGAAATTTGACCGGATGTTGGCTTATGTGTAAACGACTCCGAAATGGAGATTTGATGGTTACGATAGCTCCGTATAGTGATTTTGGACATAAGAGTTTGTCCGGATATTGATTTTGGAAGTCCTTAGGTGATTTTGGCTTGAATTAGCAAAAGTTAGAAAAGTTGAAGTTTGGAGAGTTTAGAAGTGTAATCAAGTGTTGACTTTTTTGGGGATTGGATTTTGGTTCCGAAAGTTGAAATAGGTTCATTGTGTCATTTTTGAATTGTGTGCAAAATTTGAGGTTAATCGGAACTGGTTTGATAGGTTTCGGCATCGATTGTGAAAGTTAGAAATTCATTAGTTTCATTAGGCTTGAATTGGGGTGCGATTTGTGCTTTTTATGTTATTTGATATCATTTGAGCCCTCAATTAAGTTCATATCGTGTTTTAGGAGTTGTTGGTATGTTTGGATGGGGTCCCATGGGCCTCGGGTGTGATTCAGATTGAAACCGGATTGAATTTGGGACTTGTGTTAGAGATGGTGGATCACATCTGGTGCAATTTCTCGCAGGTGCGGAGCTGTAGAAGCGGCCAAAGAGTCGCATATGCGATTATGGGCGAGCTGGAAGGTTTGCACAGATGCGTGGGAGATTTCGCATCTGCGATCCCGCATATGCGGAAGGTGGGTTGCAGGAGCGGAAAGGAGCATAGAGTGGTAGGTCCGCAAAAGCGGACAGCTTTGCACAGAAGCACACCCGCAGGTGCAGGCAAGGGACCACATAAGCGGTTGGTTAGGCCATGAGTGACTTCCGTAGAAGCGGATTATTGACCGTAGAAGCGGTACCGTAGAAGCGGTGAAAGTGCTCGCAGGTGCGAAATGCCTGGCAGAATACATAAAGACGAGGGTTGGAGTATTTTCTTCACTTTTGGACTTTGGGAGCTCGATGGAGGCGATTTTTGATGGGGTTTAAACTAGATTTCAAGAGGTACGTAAATTTTTATCACGTTTGTCCATGTATTTTGAATACCCCATTGACTAATTCACCTATTTGTCCTGATTCTAAGTTGGAAGTTGGGGATTTTTGATGGAAAGTGAAATTTGGGAATTTGAGTGGCAATTTAAGGTCGGAATTGGACGGTTTTGGTATGATTTGACTCGTTATTGGATGAGTGTTCGGATTTTGTAAATTATCGCATTTCGAGGCGTGATCCCGAGGTTGAATTTTTGACTTTAGTTAAAGAACTTAGCTTTATCGTATGAAATCAATTCCTATAGCTTGTATTTAATGTATTAAGTTATTTGTTGCTACACTCGAATCATGTTTTTAGTGAGGTAAGTAACATTTATAAACTTGATACTGAGGGTATGAATCTCTGAACTACGTGTTATGTGGTTTAGGTGATGCATATGCTAGGTGACGTGTGTGTGGGCGTGCACCGTGGTAATTGTGACTTGGTTGATTTGTGGTATTATCTAGTGATCTAGACTTGCTTCTATCCATGAACTCCTACGTGTTTGAATAATTGAGCTATGACCCTTATAAGAAATTATGCTTAGGATATGTGCTTATTCTGTTGGGATCCATTGAG